AGATGAGGTCTCGCCAAGTTGCCCAGGCGGGACTCGAACCCGCGGGCTCAGGCAATCCACTCCCCTCAGCCTCCCAAGGCGTGGGATTACAGGCTGAGCCACCAAGCCCGGCTTCTTTTCCCTTTTTTAAGAGACAGAGACTTGCTCTTTCACCCAGGCTGGAGTGCAGTGGTGCTGTCATCCTCACTGCGTCCTCCAACTCCTGGGCTCAAGCAGTCCTCCCACCTCAGCCTCCTGAGTAGCTGGGACTGCAGGTGTGCGCCACCACGCCTGACCAATCGCCATGTGTTTTCCTCAGCAGGAATCCCAAAGTCCAGCTGACAGTGTTGAGCACCCACACCAACTTTACGAGGCTGCAAAGTGCCGTCAAGTTCACCCCCTGAGGCAGGCAATAGGCAATTAAGCCCATTTTACAGATGGGAAAGTAGTTTGTGGTTACTGTGGTTGTGAAATTGAGTGTTCACTCTCGGGGTGAGCTCCTTGGAGGCAGGAAAACTGGGCGATCTGTGGCGCATGCCCGGTCCTCTCTCCCAGCTATTGAGCACCTAGGTCGATGCTGTGCACGGCCCCCTGAGCCCTGTGAGGCTGTGATCGCCTCTGTGCTATAGAAGAGGACACCGAGGTTCAGGGAGGTGAGGGTGGCCATGCGGGGAGTGGCAGATCTGGGCTGTGACTTCGTGGCTGCCTCGTGTTGAATCCAAAGCCTTGCCCTTGTCCATGGTCTCCCAGGACGGATGGGGGGCTGCCCTTATGGAATGTCCAGCCATCCAGTAGCCTGCAGGCTGGGAGAGGCTCTGCTCTGCCCCCGGGTCCTTTTATGGAGTTACTCATTCAACACGTGTGCATGGAGCACCCACTCCACCAGGGCCTGGGCCACGTGCTGGGGTGGAGACCCGGGCCCTGACCCTGGGGCTGACACCCCAGTGGGGGATGGGGTGGGAGGAATGTCAGCAAATCGCCCCGCAGGACGAGGAGGGGGCCACTGCTTTACTTGAGGCTGTGGGGGATGGCCTCACCGAGGAGGTGGCACTTTGCCTGAGACCTGGTTGGCTTGTGAAGATCCAGAAAGAGTGGTCTAGGCAGAGGGCACAGCAGGTACAAAGGCCCTGGGGCCAGAGTGCAAGGGCGTATTCGCAAACACAGTGACTGGGACCGCAAGCCAGGGAGAAGGAAGGGAGGTGAGGCAGGAGAGGTGACAGGCCTGGCACCAGAGCCCTGTGGGCTGTCAGAAGCAAGACGGGGAGTGAAAGCAGGCGGGGCCGTCTGAGGTGCGTCTGTGCAGCGGCTGCCGTGGGCCATCCGACTGCAGGGGCAGAGGCAGGGGCGTGAGGCAGCTGCCCCGTCCAGGTGACATGGTGGCAGAGGCCCCTGGAAGGGGTTGGCCAGGGATGTTTGGGGGTGTCAGGAGGAACAGGACCTGCCCACCACCCAGAGCCCAGTGCCCTTGGGCCTCTGTGGGCCGGGATGGGTCTGCCATCAGACCAGCAGAAGCTTGAAGGACTCCCTCCCTCTCTCCCTCCCTTCTCGCTGTGTCGCCCAGACTGGTCCCTGAGCACAATCGATCCTTTTGCCTCGGCCTCTCTAAGTGCTGGGATACAGGCATAGGCTACTGTCTCCTGCCTCGAGGGACTCCTTTGGGGAAAGAAGAGAGTCTGGAGGAAAAACCTCCTTCTTCGATCTAATTGTTCTGTTGGCAATAAAGGCTGGACACTCCTTTGCCTCTCCAGCTTCCGGAGACTGCCTGCCTCCTGGGCGTGTGGTCCTCCCTCCATCTCACACCAGCCGTAGTGTCTTCTAGTCTTGCTCTGACTTTGCTGTCACTTCTCCTTCCCTGATTATTATTATTATTTTTTTAATTTTATTATTTTTTTTAAGAGGCAGTATCTCTCTCTGTCACCCAGCCTGGTATGCAGTGGTGCAATCCTGGCTTCCAGCAGCCTCGACCTCTTGGGTCCTCCCACCTCAGCCTCCTAAGTAGCTGGGACTCAAGGCACACACCACCATGCCTGGCTAATGTTTTGATTTATTGTAGAGACGAGGGCTCGCTATGTTGCCCAGGCTGGTCTTGAACCCCTGGACTCAGGTGATCCTCTTGCCTCCGCCTCCCAAAGTGCTGGCGTGAACACCTGGCCCAGAGCAGGTTTGACGAAGGGCACGTTATAGGTGAGGAAACCGGGGCCCCGAGACTTCAAGGGACTTCCTGAAGGACACACAGCACTCTGGTGGCAAAGCTGGGTCTCAGGCCCAGGCCCCCTTGTCCCCTTAGCTAGCTGCCCTGTCTTCCACACCTGCCCTGGTGGTGCAAAACTGAGCACCGACAGCCCAGGGCCAAGTCGGGTGTGTGGACTTGCCTGGCTCCTGTGGTTCCTTCCATGTTTCTGCGGGGCAGCAGGGGTTGTTTTTTGTCATGCAACTTGGGTGCCTCTCAGCAGGACAAGTGCTTTTCCAGTCACCACAGCCCCCAGCAGCCCTGCAGTTCAGACCTTGATGTCATTGGCTTGCAACCCCTTCTTGTCCAGCCTGACACCTGCAACCTGGGACTCCTCTCCATGTCCTGGGACCGAGTTAGTCTCAGGGGGGAGGCTGGAGAGAACTGGACAGAGAGGGAAGGGCCACCTTAACACTGCCGTTCCAGGCGGAGGGCTGGGAGGGGTCTTGAGGACACGGGCGGGCAGCTGCACAGACAGCGGTTCTGGAGGCCAGAGAGGGCGCCGCCTGACTGACTCACTCAGCAGCCAGGGAGACGGAGGCCAGCGTCTGTCTCCCTGTGTCCTCCCGCTGACCCTGAGGACAGGGAGGAGGGAGGGCAGGAAGTGGGGGAGATGAAAGGGTGGGGGAAGAGGTTTCCCCAGGAGCTTCAGCGAGTAACTTTCAGGGAAGGCTGAGTCTGAAATGCCCTGGCAGTGGTGGGCTGTG